GAAAGAGACAATTATTAGCACAGGCTCTGGCTCCCTGAGAAATCCTGAGATCTTTACTTATGTTATCCATTGTGGAGGGGAAAAAAAAAAATCCTTTCTAAATGTCTTGCTTATTAAGCCAGTCATGCATTTCACTGTAGGTTGTAAAGCAGTATAACATGCACAGGGGGCTCATAAGCATATTTTAGTGTTAGGGAATATCATTTATACAGTTTTTATATTGTCAATATTACCCCTAGAGAATGAGATTAGGCTTTAAACTACTGTAAATCTATGCTTTTGCTCACCTTTGTATAATTTCATTTTTTAATAGAATGAAACCCACATAAATGAATATTTGATTAAGGGATAAACCTAATAAAAGAATACATTTATTGCACACAGATTTATTCAAATCTTTGCTATATAAAAGAGTAAAATGCTATAAAATGGTATGTAGCTTGCAGTCAGCTGCACTGAGGGGATGGTGGATATTCTTCAAAAAGATGAATTTGACACCATCGTGTTGTCTTTCCTGTGTAAGTGGTAGCACAGCTGCTCCTAAGCACGTTAATTCCTCATAGGTGGTTGGTGTATGACATTGTTAATGCCACGGAGCTGAGTTTATTACACAGCAACAGAAAAGTATTTTAATTTCTGGAGAATAATTGAGAGCTTTATAAACAAGGAAATATTTAACTATGCACTTTCTATGTAGTGATCAATAATATCTCCTGGGAAGCTGCACTATGCTTGAGGTTTGCCATTTTTACTCTCTCTTTACCAGGATTCTAGATACCTCCACTGAACTTTCCTTGAGAAACAAGGTGAATAGGAAGGAAAAAAATTAAAACTAATGTTGAAGTTTAAATAGTCCCTCAGCCTGCAGTACCCTCAGTGAGCACCTCTTCCTTTAGCTTGAAAAATGATTTTTATATTCAACAAAAATATAAAGCATTAAAAAATCCCCCACCGTTACAGACCCCACGCTTGATACATCAGCTCTTCCTCTGAATGCATGTCTGGCTTTCTCCCCTTCTCTGAGCAAAGTCTGTGCAGCTGCCTCAGTACCCCCGTCACACCCCAAACGCATCCCCAGCTCGGCCAGTGCCCCGCGCAGGGAGCGACTTTCTGCTGCCTCCAGAGCTGACCTGGGTCACCCACCAGCTTGGCTGGAATCTCACCCGTGGGGAGAGGGGATAGGAGAGACAGTCCTTTTCAGCCAAGGCTCGTCCTGTAGGTGCTCTGTGCCCAGGCTCCATGGCCAGCTGGGGTGTTGCTGGCAGAACCTCTGCTTCTCAGACAGCTACAAAGACTCTGATGGTTTTGAGGGCAGGCTCTGTCCGTGGTTGCCCTTGTTAGAAGCACAGCTTTAATAAAGGCTGCATCACCTACAGCCTGCTGGGGAACAGTCATGTGCAACCTCCTCACCATCAGGAGAAAAAGGGAAAAAAACAAAACCATCAACAACAAAAAAAGCCAAACCAACCCCTTTACAAAACCAAACCCATGGTTTTCAATATCTGCATTTCTGCTTACTCCCCTCTCCAGGTTTTAATATTTGCCCCTCCAAGTTTATGGCAATAATTTTAATCAGCCAGAGGCCTGAAACTAGTTTTAGCCACTTCTTTGGAGGTTCCCATACATTCCTTCTAAGATGTTATGTCCCTGGCTTTTCCACTCTTTATTCTTGTTTACATCCAAAATACATATTAAATCTTCTGTTTGGAGAGTCTGAGCCTCCTTAAAACCATGAAACATTCAATTACTAATTAGCTGTTTCCTGTTCCTAATGAAGTGAACATGTCAGATTTGGATTAACATTCAGCTACTGCTCTCCTCTGTTTATGGTTCCAGATGTTTTTGTTTTATCTAGGAGGTTACTTTGACAGCTACTGCTAAATGATAAATCACTCATATTATAGCTGAAATGCATTTTGAAATTGAAACATGGCAAACTTTGAGATTGCTCCAAGGATCAGTGTCAGTTAGCAGGTCAATACTTGTTCGTTGCTTATGAGTGTTCAGTATTGGCATATGTAAAACAGTAATGGGATAGATGTCAACATTATACAAAATGCTGCTCAGGATTCAAATTTTCCTATCATCTTCGAGATCAGTACTTGTGGTTTAGCTAGGAGAATTCATGATTCATTGTATAACGAGCAAGAATATGGATCCTTGTTAGCTCTAGTTTCTGTGGGCATTTTAATATTTCTTTTTTCTCTGGGCTTAAAGATGCTTAATGTGAAAAATCCCAGTTGATGGGTATGGTAACTAGGAATATTTTTAGGAAGGAAATAAGCTATTTGTTTCCCTAAATAAAGAAAAATAATGTTAAAGAAATGTGGTGGTTTCTGAAGGAAAGAATAGTTTTCCAAGAACAGATATTGATTTGCTTCTGTTCCATTTTTTTAATGCAATGCAATTGTGGGTGAGCACACTGTTCAGGTTTTGTGCCTGCAATAAGGGTGTGTTGTAAAGCTGGTGCCCTGGTACGTGGCCTGAGCTAGGGAGGAGGGCAGCACAACACAGGCTGCCTCTGGGGAGAAAAGGAAGGAAAATCAGTGTTCAATTAAAAAGCAGATACCATAAAGGAGGAAAATACAAATCCAAGTATTTTGAGGCTTTACTCAGCAGATGCTGGCTGGCAGCACCCTCGGAAACACGGACTTTTAGCCCAGACCTTCCTAGGGGTGGGGTGGAGGTCGGTGCCCTGAGCTCAGCCTCGGGTAACATTCCCCTCCCCTGGGCTTTGCAAGGCTCTGTCCTCGGGGCCTCATGTGCCTGGGGAAAACACACCCACGTGGTAGCCAGGAGAGCACCTGTAGGTCTGATAATTTCATCTGAGGGAAAAAACTGGTCCCAAACAAATAAGGAAAGCCACCTAAGTTTCAGTTAATTATAAAATGTGTAACTGTGTAACGAACCTTTTTTTTCCCCCCTCCAGAAAACAGGACGTACATCAAACCCACCATTATGTACTGAAGGAAACGCCCGTTGTTGAGAAATGTATAATGATCATTTTGAAGACTATATAGCTCATGAAAAACATCCCTTCCAACCTTTGATGCCTTCAGTACCGTGTGAAGAACAGGATTTGTAGCATGAAACTTGAAGGACAGTTCCAAGCAATTTACTGTTGCTGCATCGAAAACTGCCGTGTTGTCATTAAGAAATACTGAGACTCTTTACCAGCTCACCACACCAAACCAGGCCTGTTGCAACACATCATTTTTAGGTTCCCAAGGATAGAAAGGAGTTTTAGTATTTTTAAGCACATACAGGAATTACTCTCCCATTCCCCCCCCTCCCCAAGAACTTTGTTTTCCCCCAAAGGAGGTAGCTGTTACTGGATAGCAATGGCACAATGATTTTAAGCCACAAAGGTTCTCACTGGCTGTACATCATACAAGTCCAGTTTATCACTGAAACTGTTCAACATGGAGCTGTTTCGATTGTGTTTATAAATTAAGCTTTGTTTACTGAAGCAGATACTCGATATATATTACGTTTTAAAAAGAAATGTGTGTACATTTTTTAAAAGAATGATGTAAAAATTGTCCTTTCATTAGATGACCAATTCAAAAGTGTGAGCTAAACCCTAATAGCTGACGTACTATGAGGATTATAATTGATGCTTTTTTTTATGCTCAGTTCAGCTTGGCTTTTGGTCTTTTAAGATGAAAAAATGAATATGCAGTAGAGTGTTAGATAATGGAAACTTTTAAGTATGGTTTCTCTGTTGTACCATATTAAGTTAAAGTACACATTCTTTGTTAAAAATGTTCTTGCTAAAAATACAGTATTAAAATTTTTTTGTTTGACTTTGGAAATCTTTTAAGATTTTTTCTTTTTACTGTGAACTCCCATAGTTACTGTACGAATGCAAAACAATATTTTGCACTATTAAAAATACTTGAAGAAATTACTTAATAAAGAGGGTGGGTTGGTATTAAAAACTTTCCTAATTATTGTACGTTCCAAATTCTCAACTTTGCAGCTGAAACATTCCTTTCTCAGACAGGTGACTCAGATAGGTGACTGGCAGCTGGCTTGAGTCAAGTGGAGTTCAGTAATCACCTGCTTACTCTTCAGCCCTCTTACACTTCAGCCAAAGGCACAATGTTTATTTACTTACCAGCTCATGTTTATACACACATGCTTATGTTCATACACATACCCTGAATTAAATCCCTGTCACTTGAAAAAAAGAATTCTTTAAATAGATCTCTAGGGAATATATATTCCCATGAATATGTATCCCATTGTCTGTATGTATAACATTCAACATTTCAGTTTTTATCACTAGATTTTTTTCTGGTTAACAGGCTGACTTTCAAAGTGTAGCATCATACTCTAGCAGAAAAGAATCACCTGATTTTTTTGTTCCTAAAAGAAATCTTTATGCATAATGAGTTGAAGCAAACATGTTGGCCTCTGTTATACAGGTGATCCTGCTAATTATCAGAATAATCTTTCAATGGAAAAAAATTGTTTATTCCATACTATTTTTGCAAGCTTTCTAATAACTGCATTAATCACACCACCACTGATTAAACAATCACAACTTGAATGATAGGAATAAATAGGAACATTAGGAAATGTGTAATACTTGTAATACAAGCTCCTATGTGAATGAAACACTGCAGCACCAGAACTTAAATTGTAACTTGGACAATTTCTTAATTTTAGTTGCTGTTCCATCTGGCTTTTCTGAAAGGAAGGTTGGACAGTATTTCTAAACCTTATTTTTATAAAGGACTTGAAGCAGTCCTGGGGATGCTGCAGCGTGTCTGGACTGACCTCTGGTACTGTGCCCATCAACTGCAGATCTTCAATGACTTGTAGAAGGACTTCAAGTAACCAAGTGTTTCAGTCCTTGAACCTGTAGCATTTTTGCATTTTTCTTTAGTCCCCATAAAGGCAATTTCAGCATTTATTTTTTTTTCCCTCAATAGCTGATCTACATTTCTGAAGGCTGTGTTGATACTGGGGTAATGAGCACATTGATTTCTAATTTGCCCTTCCCAGAAAAGTTTTAAATGTCAAAAGTACTGGCAAATGAGATTTAGGAAACTGATAAACTTCAGAGACTGAATCTGTTGTTAAGTCCTTATTAGGAAGTGCCTGCTTAATACTGACAAACCTTGGCCCTGGGGTTTTATGTCTCAGCTCAACCTGAGGAGCACACTTGTAACTGACTTGCTCCTGGACAAGCATGAGAGCCAGAACAAGCAACAGGTTTGGTCAATTGTGACTGAACAGTTCATATAAAAGTGCAGACTTCAGTTATTTCATTTTAGTTTCTATAATTTCCTCACTTACACTCCAGCTGACACTGTCCTGCACAGGGATCCAAACCCTGGACCTGGCTGGTCCTGGCTGCTGGGCTCTACCAGGGAGCTGTGTCCCACCAGGCACCATTCCTGTCCTGCAGCTGTGGCCAGAGCCCACCCAACACACTGGCCTTCTGGGAGCAGCTCTGACACTGCATATAATTTCTTTTTTTCCCCTCCATGAAGTGTGAAAAAGCCTCAGTGTGGACTCTATTCCAGGCACTGCAACTGAGCAGGAAAGGCAAGAAAATGAGGCAATTGCTTTCATGTCATAAAGTCTGGGTCTGGGTTGATCTTGTCATTCAAAGGTGAAGGAGATGGCATTGTTTACTTAGAGATGACAAGACTAAGGGGAGAATTAACTGTCTGTCATATGTAAAAGCAAGCTCTACAGAGCAGGAAGGTAACCTTCCCTGTCCTCTGTGGTTCCGTGTCCAGTACCAGGCAGCGTGTGCTGCTTTCAGAAGATGCAGAGCCCTGGGAGCTCATTCCAGCACAGCACACTCACCCAGTGCTAAGCTTTTTTAAGCTCCAGGCCATGAGTTCACATCAGATGACAGTTCCTACCCTCCTGGTCCATCCTGTATTTTAAATGGTGGCACAGCCTGAGTTAGGTGAGTTTTGGGGACTGTCCCCTCAGCCCAGGGCAGAGCTGGGCTGGAGGACACCCAGCCTGCACCAGCTGACCCACCTGGCTGGTAACAGACCCTACTGGAGGGCTCCCGGAAGTTTGGTGGTTTTGCAGGGTTTTTAATCCCAATTAAAATGCCTGAGAAGAGCAGGACTTCAGTTGTGCCTGCATCCTCTAAGTGTCAGAGCAGAGGGACCTTAAGAACCCCTTTTGCTGCAGGATGCTGAGCTGGGGATGGGTATTTGCAGGGGCAGCCTGGGCTGGGGGCAGCACCCACAGCCCCTCTGCACCTGTCACTGTCACCCCTCGGTCCCACACAGCACAGCTCCTCGTTTGTAAATCACCTCTGGAGTGGCATGATGCCAATACCACTGGTGTTAGCTGCACACAAGGTGATCTTGGCTAAATGCAGGCAAGATGATGTATTTCAGCAATTTTATGAATCTTGTGTAATGCAGACTGCTATCATAATAAACTCCAAGAGAATCAATAGTGACCCAGCTCCATTTAAAATCTGGATCTATAGTAATAGGCATCACCAACACTCTCCCTTAGCAGTGCATGGCTGTGCACTAAAAGCTGAATCCTGGTTTGAGTAAGTGCCATCTACAAGCAAGTGGCCCATTAATGCATTTATTTACAGAATATTTTTGGTAATGTGACAAAATGTGGGCTAACCTAAATTGTTAGGAATTTCCTTCACGCCCTCAGCTGATCTCCACAACTGCTCCTGTGCCTGGGAGTGTGCACAGCCTGAGCCCTACACTCCATGTGTGGAGATGCACAGCTGAGGATCTGTTACCTTTGGCAGTGACAGGGACAGCAAGACTTCCCACCTTCCCACTGCTGCTTCCTGCTGCAGGTCCCTGCCAGGGTGAGGAGGGAGGGAGAGGGACTGACAGCTCTCTTCTTGGAGCCAGCTCATGTGTGAGCATCATTTGTTACACGTACTACAAATGTTTAGGCACTTGTAAAATCACTGTTAATAAACATTTTTACTTTAGTTCTGTCTGAAAGTAAAGGCATCTTTGATTATTTGAAGCAGGGATGGAAGGGGAGAAAAAGAGCAAGTTATTTTTTAAACTATGGATTTATAGATTAGTTATGAATTACTACAGTTTTATGTTTGTATCTCCAAGAAATCAATTGAAATGAGCTAATTCAGTGTCAGCACAGCACAAATGCTGAAGCTTCCTCTAGTTTCATTAGACCGTCATCCATTTCTGAGTGTTGGCCTCTTTAATCCTTTGCATGAACATTGTGACAATCTAAGGCAGAGAAAAAAAAAAAGTGGAGCTCATTTCCTTAAATCAAAACCCCGTTATTCTGAGTTCCAGTTAGAAATACAGTAAGATTTTACTGTATCTTCATTATGCTATTCTGGTGACATATTCCAAAATTATGAATGTAAATACAGCACTATGCATTAAACTGGTTTTATGGTAACTGATACTTAACAAATTGGATCTTTTGTAATATTTAAGCTTTTGAAAAGGCATTGGGCTTTGCCTGTTTGAAAATGTATGCACTGCTTTTTCAATGACATGGAAATGTGTATTCACTGAGTAGCTGGTGAAAAGTGCCCTTGCACTATGTATCAGTTCTTTGCTTTGGCTGTCTAGAAGAGGAGTTAGTTGTGGGAAAAGGAGTTTTTGCTGACCCTAAAATGTAACTGCTCCCCTTTGTGCTCTCCCAAAGCTAGGAGGGCTGCCCCCACTTCCCAGGGTCTGTTCTGAGGTTAGTGCCCTATCTTACCTTTGCGAGGGATCCAGCTCCATGGCAGCACAGCTGGGACAGCCTCTGGGTTTAAAAGGTGATTATATTTTAAAACAACCACCTCAGCTGGGGCAGGCCATGCATACATTGCTGTTCCTGGTAATTGAGCAAGCTCAGTCTTCTGGAGTAGATGTTGGCTTCTCAGTAGGATGGTGGAGATGGAGCAGCTGGAGGAGCGGCAAGTTCATCTAGGACAAAATCAGCCCAGCTCCAATTAATCATGGTGTGCTTCAGTCAGCCAACAGTGAGACTGATGCAGTTATTTTTCATGGGAAAGTCTGAAATGAGACAATGGATAGAAACACAGTCACTTTGAATTGTTGAGTGAAGACATGGTTTCATCCTAATAAGGCTTGCATCACAGTTCCTTCACACCAAACACTGCTGTATGGTCATACAGCTCACATTAAGGGTATTAAGAGTGCTTTCAAAGGATGCAGCCTCATGTAAACATGCTGCAGTAGAGTGCCACAATATCACATAGATGTACACAGGGCACCAGGGTACAGGCACCTTTTGGGCTGTGTCAGCAGCTGTTCTGCTGGAGAGGCAAAGAAGTGGTTGGGGACATCACAGGTTGCCCCCCTCCCCCCCTTGGTGGGTGTTGAACAGGCACGGTGTGTCCACTGCCTCTCCTTTTGGAAGCTGGGCTTTGCCTGGAGCTCTAATCTGATTACCTAAAGGCCACATGCCTAAAATGAATTGTCCCCTCCTTCTGCCTCAGTGGCCAAACAGAAAGAAAAAAAACATTGGCATTAAATGAAACAAGATGAATTAGCTAAAAAGAGGAAAAAGAATAAACAGAAATGAAACTTTAATTCGCTCCAGTGCCAGTAGGATTTGGCATTTAACATTCATCATATGTTTCAGTCTGTATCAGGAAGAAATACCTGTTTCGTGTTTCCCCTGATGATTCCTGCCATTAGCTGAAAGTCTGTTTATTCCCAGAGCTGTGCTGCCATCAGTTGATGATGCTGGGGCACTTACAGAGATGTTTTGGCAGGAAAAATTCTTTATCATTCACAACGTTGTATGAAACATAGTATTGTTTTTGTAGCCCAGTCCAAAGCAATTCCAGATAAATGGTTTCATTGGTGTCAAGTGGAGTGG